GTCCACATGTGTAGCACTGAGGAGGTTTTGGGTTTGGTTGGTTGGGTTTTTAAGGTAGGATGTCATTTTATAGTCAAGGTAGCCTTAACTCACTATGGAACCCAGATTGGCCTCAAACTCATAGCAAACCTCCTACCTCAGCCTCTGTGTGCTGGCATTACAGACCTAAGCCACCACACTCACCACTTCGAGGGACTTTTAAATGGCAGTAACCACCATAAAAAAAAAATAGTGAAAACTGACTTTGTTGTTAAGTACAGAAGGGTACAGAATGAAAAATATAAAGCAAAATGTGTGACCAATTTCACAGCAGTCTAAATTGTTTCTAGCATCACTCTTCATCTCACCATCATCTCCAAGGATGGCCTGCAACTTGTTGTGTAGTAGATACCCTTGGATGTTTATGCCCTCCAATTGCTGAGCTTACAGGTGTGCTGGCAGTCCCGATGTACGAGGTGCTGGGGATCAAACCGAGGGCTTTGTGCATGCCGGGCAAGCATTTTCACCATCCAAGCGGCATCCCTAGCCTCTGGCCTTGATTTTTTCTTGATGCCTCAGCCTCCTAATGCTTGTCTTAGGATACATGCCAACAAGCTCATCTTTCAATGTATTTTGTTTAAAATCTCCCATTTCCCCCTCTTTCTTTTTTCAAGTGTAATACAAAATGCATAAATTTGGCCATCTTAACCATTTTACAATATAATTTAGTAGTATTAATTATTCACAATCTTGTAAAACAAATCTCTAGATATTTTTCCATCCTGTAGAACTGACACTCTCAAGCCTTTAAATAATTCCCTTTCCTTCCTCCTCCAGCCATTGATATCGACCATTCTACTTTCTGCTCCTATGAATTTCACCAATTCAGATTTTTCTTTCTGTGACTGGGTTATTTGACTCAGTGTAGTGTCTATAGGGTCCCTGCATGTTGTATCTGTAAAAAATTTTTGTTCCAACTGAGTCTGGCAGTTCAACTGTAATCGCAGCCCTTGGGAATCAGAAATAGGAGGATTATGCAGGACTTTTAGGTCAGCCTAATCTACACACTGAGTCCCAAGCCAATGAAGACTACACAGTGAGACCCTGCCTTTAAAAAACAGTTTGCTATGTCTTAGAGATTGTTATATTAGTCATTTGTATCATTACTGTGATTACATACCTGGCAGGAACAAAGGAGGGAAGGTGTGGTTTGACTCAAGGTTTTTGCATTGTTAACTGTGGCTGGTTCTGTTATTTCCCAGCATATGAAACAGCATCATGGCAGTGGGAGTTTCTGGCTGAGGCTACCAATGGCATTCAGGAAGCACAGCACACAGCAGAGAACAGACACAACATTCAAAAGCAGACTCCAGTGACTTCCTCCAGCTAGGCCCTACCTCCACATTCTCTACTGCCTCTCATGTGCCATCACCCTGGGGATGAAGTATTCAATACATGATCCCGTGGTGACCGTTTCATATTAAAACCATTTAGTACTATACACACTCTTTTGAAGGTATCTGTTTATGCTTAAGGTTTACCTTATTGTACACACAGGGTTTCTGCTCCAGTGCCTCTCAGTCCAGTAATGAGAAACTATGTCTGCACTAGATAGAAGGCAAGCATAGAACACTGTCAATGTATTTGTTTTCTTGAATCTTGCTGACAGTAGTGCAAAATGAATTACTAGCCTGGAAGGGAAGAAGATGCAGAACTCTGTGTTAATTCAAGGAGAAATTCACCATATAGTGAGAGGGGAGAATTGACAGCTGTAGGAATAGATTGGAAGAGATGACAGGACACCCTAACCATGAGGAAGCATAGGGGAAGAATGCATGCCAACCAATTGAAAGTAATTAAATAGGCATATAGGATGCTATAAGGGCACTTAAATGATTGCTTGCTTGATTAAAAACAGCAACAAGGACAACAACAAAAACCAACTAGGAACTTTCAGTTGCTGAGATTAAAGACAGGCACCACTATATCAGGCACTAATAACTTTCTTAACCAAAATATCTTTCTTTCTTGGTAAGATAGGATCTTATGTAGCCTAGGCTGGCTCAAAATCACTACATGTCAAGTTTTGGCGAAGGAGCCTTTCTGGTCTTTAGATCTCTTCATTTTTTCAAGTAAATTTCCGATTTCTTTTCTTTTTTTTGTTATTTCACCAATTTTGTTAAACATCTTCCTACCCTCTAAAGTGTACTTCCAAAGAGGCAAACTCTGTGTCGTAAACAAATCACATGCATGTCCAAGCAAATCCATGAGCCTCACAATAAATATGTGGAGTGGTTTACATTCTCATCTAGTTTTGCACTATTGCTGGTTTCTGTTTGATCATCTCTGAGAGTCAGGGGGCTTGCTACCTCTCAAACCTGTTCACTGAACTGTCAGGCAGGATATGTCCATGCTCACTGGAAGATCTGTATGAAAACATCCAAATCTCATAGGCTGGGATTCAAGACCTGTCTATCCACAGCCAATTAGGGTAGTCATCTCAAGAGTTATCTTCTGCTCCTCAGATTGACCTGTCAATCCTTCCAGAGTTTAGGCATCTGCTGTCTTAACATCCAGGTTTTGCTTACACACTACCCATGTCTCGAATTGCCCTGGGCTCTGTCTGCTCTTAGATGTTGTCATGTCAATGGTCTAGTTTTAAAGTGTAACAAAGCCATCTTGGAAAAGGTAATGCAAACTGTCTATTTTAAAATAAGGTCTGAATAGGTACTTATGCCAGCACTACTGTTTGAACAGTGCAAGTTATAAACATGGGAAAATCTAAAGATCAAAAAAGAAAATGAAATTTGCATATGGCTTTAACCGTCACACACACACACACACACACACACACACACACACACACTTTTGTTGTTCTCAGGTGGCTGAAGATTAGATTTATTGGAAGGCATAATAAGGTGGGAAATGCTATGGCTGGTTTACGAATCAGAAAATATTTCTGTGAATTAATGTTGACATTTCTAGAGTTTCTCCTGATAGGAGTTCAAGAGAAGAATGTTCTGAGTTGGCAGAAATGTGGTGTCCATACTCTGTATTACTTTCCTCATCACTGTGACAGCATACCTGATAGAGTAAATGAAGAGATGAAGGATTTACTTTGGCTCACAGTTTGAAGGCATGGAAGAATTTACTGCATCAGGAACACATGGTTGGTACTTCATGTCTCAGAAGTCTAGGAAACAAGGATCTCAGGCTAGAAGTAGGGTTAAGTTATAATCCAAAGAGCTTACCCACAATGCTCTAGTTCCTCTGAAGTCGGTCTTAGCTCCCAAAGGTTCTATAACCTCTCCTAAACAGTCCTACCAGTTGAAGACCAACACATGGACCTATGGGACACATTTGACACCCAGCCATAACATACTGTTATTATCAGTCTCCCTAGAGTTCATCACTAATGGAGTGTAGAACTTTGAGTACTGGGATATGGGTTCCATAGGGTTGGATTGACATCTCTTATTCAGTCTTAGATTCCTTATACCTACTGCACTTACCAGTATATGATATTTGTCAATAAAAATGTTTAAGTGCTTGACCACCAGCGTCACATTTACTCTTAGAATCTTCCCTATGATGTATCACTCAATACTTCTGGTGAATTATGTTGGTAAGCAGTTGGCAAACATAGCTTTAAGATTTCTCTAAGATTCTAGCCAATGAAACAGATCAGTGCCTTGCTCAGCCATTGTCAGAAAAGTTTCCTTTGCAGCAGATGGGAACAAATACAGAAACCCACAGTCAGTCAATATGCAGAGAGTGAAAAGACCTTTGAACACTCAGCCCTAAATGGTATGGTATGACTCCATCAAATCCCTCTCCTTGGGGCTCAGGGAACTCTGCAGAAAAGAAGGTGGAAAGAGTGTGAGAGTCAGAGGGGATCGAGAGACACCAAGGAAACAAGGCCCTTTAAATCAACAGGACCGAAGCACAGATGAACTCAGAGACTGAGGCAGCATGCACAGGGCCTGCACCAGTCTGCACCAAACAGGTCCTAGAGTTGGAAGGAGTGGACACACTCCTCCATCCCTAACCTAGAAGTGATCTCCAATTGGTAATCACTTGCAAATGAAATTTAGTTTTCTCCAAGGGTAGTTCTGGGGAAACAAATTACTCTTAAATGTAGGCTGCATTCCCAGCAGTAGATGGCCAAGGAAAACAAACTCAATGGCATCTCTGGAATTTCCTTGTCTCATAATGTCATGTTGGGGTCTTTTCCTTTCTTTTAAAAAAGTATTTAATTTTTTTATTTTATGTTATTTATGTATATGTTTCTCCTCTCTTTCTACCCTATAGGTCCTTTGCATATGAATTATGGCTTCCAGTTTAGTGTTTTTTGAGTTTTCTGAGTGTGGGAAAGAGTTGGTCTCTGCATCTTATATTTGTTCCTTGTGACTTTTCTTGGGCTCTTTCCCCTCGTTTTGTTTTATCCTATTCCAGTGTGTTAGTTTCTGTTTTTATTTTGTTATTATCCTTTCGAAGCCTGTTTGTTTTCTAATGAGAGACAGAAAGGAATGGATCCCATAGGAGGAGAAACTGTGATCAGGATATGTTCTATGAGAAAAGAATCCATTTTGGGGGGGTTATAGAAATGTGTTGTTTTATTATAAAGTCTCACAAAATGAAATATCTCAAAAAGGAAGCTAGGCTAACACCTCCACCTGCAGAGTTGGGGGAAGACAGGGCAATGAGAGTTTTTCTGCTTGCCTGAGTCCAGTGGGAAGGTATAAACAGAACCAATCTAAAAATGGCTGATATTACCTAAGCCTGAAAATAAGGGGTCCCAGAAGACCCAGTTACCCCTTCTAGAAAGCTTAATAAGGGCATCGTAACAGAGCTCCTAAAGCAGGCACTTGGCAGTTCAGGATTTTGTCTTCTGGTTGTTTTCTTTCCACCCTACATGTTTGAAAACTAAGATCTGAGCAGGATGGACAAGGTGACTTTGGGAAAAGTTCCCCCAGCACCACTCACTACACTGGACTCTGGTCCCTGGTTCCTATCTAGTCCCTGGGGACATTATATTTAATATATTTTATATAAATACACAGAGGAACAGAAAATATAAAATCTGAGATTGGGGAGAAGTGGGGAACTTGGGGCGAGGCCACAGCCATAGATCTTACTCAGGCTAGTTTGACCTCTTCTTTCACCCCTTTGACTTCTGGCTTCTCCTCCTTGGTCTTCTCCTCTTCGATGACTTCTTTTTTCTCTTCTGGATCTTTTTCTTTTTCATCCTCTGTTTTGACTCTTTTGGCTTTTTTGAAATTAGAAGAGTTCTTGCGACCACCTTCTCCCTTCTCATCTGAATCAGAGAATTCTTCCTCACAGACAATTCGTTTGTCAGAAGAACAGATGGAGATGCATTTGTCAGGGTCTTCTTCATCCTCATCACCACTCTCCTCTGGGATGGCATCCTCAGGTATTGCCTGCATTTGGACGCCAGGCGCATGGGGCAGCATTCTCAAGTTCTCAAAGAGCTTCTGCTTGATTTTCTCCAGGTATTCGTTAGTGTTCTGGTTGGTCATATTGGAAGGGCTGAAGTGAAGCTTGAAGTCCGGTCCAAAGTATTCAAAGTAGTCATTGTACGGTAGCTCATTAGGGATCTCCGTGTCCTGGGCCACAGCTGTTTCGTAAGTCCAGCACTGAGCAACATTATGGATGGTATGGCCGCCTCCTCCCAGCATTAGCATAGGCAAGTTGAAACTCTTGACAAACTCCACACACTTGGCATGCCCTTTGATGGTCAGATTGAAGCAACCTAACTAGTCTCCAGATAGGGAATCTGAGCCACACTCTAAGACTACTGCACTAGGCTGGAACATCTCCATCACTTTGGACATGACTGGCTTGAAAATGGCTACATAGGACTGATCATCAATCCCATCTCGGAGAGGGTAGTTAACAGCATAGTACTTGCCTTTGCCAGCCCCAAAAGGTCCCCAGTTCCTGGGAAGTACTCTCCATATTTATGAAAGGACACAGTCATGACCCAGTCTGTGGTATAGAAGGCCTCTTCCACACCATCGCCATGATGAATATCAATGTCAATATACAGCACCCTCTGGTGATACTTTAGCAGTTCCAGGATGGCCAAGACAATATCATTGACGTAACAGAAACCGGATGCTTCAGACTTCTTTGCACGATGCAGACCCCCAGCCCAGTTCACAGCAATGTCTGTCTGCTGCTTATTAAGTTTCACAGCACTTGCCACAGAGCTACCAGTAGACAGCTGACAGAACTCAAACAAGCCATCAAATACTGGACAGTCCTCACCAACGTTGAATCTCTGCATCTGCTTGCTGTACTCAGACATATTGTCTGGGCAAATGGAATGCAAGAACTTAATGTAGTCATCACTGTGGTACTTAGTCATCTCCTCAGCATTGGCTTTGTGAGGACGATAGATTTCCATTTTTCGGTAGAGAACATAGTTGAACAGCAAATTGTGAGTCATGCGGATTTGGAGAGGCTTCATTGGGTGGCCTTGTCCATAATAGTAGTTTCCAACATCACCGTCATAGTAATAACAGACTTTCCTCTTGGTGCCCTGAGTCTGTGCCATCTTGCTCACCGCCCGGCCCTCCCATCAGTCTGTCCGAATCCATTTTCAATAAAAGGAAAAAAATTAAAGGAGAAAATTTCTGTAAGTTACCCAGGAAATGGAAGTTTCTCGTCCCACTGACCAGTAACCACTCTAAGACTTAATATTTATTACAGTAACTTGGCCAATGGCTCAGGCATATTACTGACTAGCTCTCACAATTAAATTAACCCACTGAGTTTATATTTTACCACGATGCTTGTGGCTTGTTACCTCACATCTTGCTTCTCTGGTGGGCACATGGCATCTCCCTGACTTCTTATTTCTCTCTGTATCTTTGTTTGGATTTACCACCTGGCTCTATTCTACTTGGGCATTGTCCAAATCAGCTTTATCTATCAACTAATAAATGAAACATAAATTTGTAGCATACAGAAGGATATCCAACATCACCATCCAGTTCAGTGGGGTATGGATAAATATTCCACTGCTGAGGGTCTGCGCTGTGAGCTTATGGGAGGTAAATGGGATGGATGAGGGATTTGGATTTTGGAATGTTCTTGTCTCTCTAGAGCTATATCCCAGTATAGTGAGGATTAAGCCCTCCAAAAAGGAACTAAGTATTGATAGGGCCTGTGACACACAACTATGATGTTATCATATATTCTGCAGCTCCTTGGCCTGTTTGGTCTTTGTCTTCACAATGCTCACCCTATTTGTCCTGGGGGACACAATTCAACATGAATATTTCAAAAGTTAAGATTTGAAAACTGGCCTCATGGTCACTACATTCTCCTTGCCCTACCAACCCTCCAGTTCGTAAACAATGTGACTGATGTTTCTCTGAGGAACACATTTTGGATTGTAAAACTAGAGTGACTTCAGCAGTCTGTTGGCCGGAGCCAACTTTGAACATTTCCCTGGGGCCTTCCAGGTGAATGAAAACGAGCAAGCTCAGTAGCTAGCAGAGATGGATGCCAGAGTACACGAGTTCAGAATCTAATCTGCTCTTCCATCCCAGGGACACAGACAGTGTTTTTCTACCTAGTTGCCTTGGTGAAGATACCAAAGAAGATAGAGGACGAATCTCCCCCCCTGCCCCTCCCCCAAAGTTGGCTTGGAGACAAGATGAGCCTTAGGCATTTGTTTTCAGAGGCTGTGATTTTAAGCACTTTACTAGCCTGTAAGCCCCTTTAGTTTTTCTATCCTACTTCCCTTGTAGGTGCCTATCTTAGCATCCATGTCCTCCAGTTCTAGGGACCCCTCCTACATGCATGGTCAACATTTCCATAGACTTTATGATTTGACTACCAAATGAAGGAAAGGGATAAATCTGGCCTGATGAGCCCTCATGAGTCAAAGATTGGAAAGGCAAGAGACATAACAAGGCTTTGCAGCCATGGGGGCAGCAAGAAGGAATTCCAGCCTGAGGAGTTTCAGAGCTCTGATGTTTCAGAGCTCAGGATAGGAAAGAACATAGGCTTTGGAGATTAGAAACGTACTTCAAAAGTTTTTATTAAGTGGTAGATAGATTTTAGCCCAACCCTTTAGTTTCTCCAATATCAATTTTCTCTTGCAGGTGCTCCTCCGTTGATTATAATGTTGTCTATTACAAGCATTTGATTAATTCATGAAGCTAATACCAGGGCAAATTAAAAATACTGCTTCAAACCTTAGAGAATAGTGGAACCATTAAGTAGAAGTGATGGCATCTATCAACAGGGATATGGAGCAGTTTGGGTGGTTGGGATTGTGAAAATGTGGTTATAGGTAGAGGGGAGTGTCTGAGCCAGAAGAAGTGGCTACATCATTGTTTGTTTGACAGAAAAATCAGAAACTATTTAAAGGACTAATAGGCACAGTCCTAATACTGGGTGTTGGCAGAACACTTGGCTGTTTGAGAAATACACAGATACCAACATTATTCTGTTAAATTTGTTCCTCTGAAGTTCATCACCTGACAGCTAACCCTGCTAATCCACCAGTAGCTAACAAGGCCTTTAATCTCTGCATCTGGACTTTATTAATACGTGTGATTCCAGCCAAGACATTTTCCCCCTCTCCCATCACTCTGGGTTTTGCCAGTTCCTTCAGTGGTCCCAGCATGGAGAATCAAAGGAGCCAGTTTGCCTCAGTTTATGTTTGAAAGGAAGCAAAGTGACACCGTGGATGACATGGGCACTTCCACATTTTTCAAAGCATATTTCGGGTAATTCCAACTCCCACTGCTTTGCATTTGGCAGGATTTGCACCCCCCAGGGCAATCAGCAAGCCATCTTCAGTTTGCATGAAGCCAGAAGGAACATCCCTTTGCCTTTACATGGATGATTTTTTTTAACAGTTTGCAGTCCATAAATTACAAGCTTTTGGACACAGAATCAGTGGGTGCCCCCTCCCTCCTCTGGGGGCTTTTATAGGCTGAATAATTTTTGGGAGATTGGGGAGTGATGAGAGGAAAGTGAACCTCAGGGAACAGAAGAAGAGGTATCATTCGTGAGACTTGGGGGAGAGGGCTGCAGACTCAATTTACCCATTAGAAGCATTTCCTATAATTAGCTGAAAATGGGTTTTAGCTCTATTAGTGTAGCACTTGATGAAAAAATTGACAGACATCTCAAAGCAAATGAAAGAAATGTGCTTCAAGTACTCTCATTAGAGAGAAAATGATCTATTAGACAAGGTTCAGCTCTAGACAAGACCCAGCGGAAGGGAATGTCTCCAGTGATATCTAGGCTCTCCCTACTTCTTCTCAGTGGCTCACACACAGCACAAAGACAGCACTGGAGCTGGAGCTTAGGGCTGTCTGTGCCAAGCCTTTCTGCTATCCTAGGGGAGATGCAGGAAATCTCTTCCCTTTTGCATCTCATCTGAGGCCCCAGGGCTCTCCTGCTTGATGATGTTGGGGTTTTATTGCAAGCATACTATTCCAGCAGTACAAATGAGAATGTTTATGTTATTTCTACAGTGTCACAATGTATTGAATAGCAATAAATTCAGAATGTTTTAGTGGTTTCAATGAGACCAATTTGTCATGTGATCTGTCTGTCTTGGTAACCTGGCCAAGACAAATACAGGTTCTTTTATTCCAATTTTCATACTAATATTAACCAACATTACATAGCACATGGTAATCTATCAATATCTATCCATCACCTATATATTTATCTATCATCTATCAATCTATCCATCTATCCAGCTATCTATTTGTCTATATAAGTTAAAATGGCTACAGCAGAGTTCCAAGATTTTGGAATCTGGCTGAGAAAGCCTGTATTTGTGAGAGTAAGGAAGCAGAGTGGTGCTGGGCGGGAGCTGCTGTAGTTAGGCCTGAGAGCAAAGCTGCAGAGTTCAGTTGCTGGGTGAAAGGCTGAAAATAACCAAATGGTCAGGAGCTGGAGACAGACAGGTCAGGTGCAAGAAAAGGCTGGGCAGGTCCAGGTGCTACAAACATACTTCCAAAATAAACTTGACAGTCAGAATTAGCCACCACTGGTGCTGAAAAAAATAATTTGCAAAAGAATATTGTGTGTATTCCTTCTGAGGATCGTATTTTAATGACCAATTTCTTGCTTATTTCATTTTTATGAACGTATTTGTTTTTCCAACATCTATTTTGCAAGTGCTCTACATCCATCTCTGTTAGTACTCAAGCTTATATGTGACACCTTTCTTTATAGTTCCAAAGTCTGAAAGAGAAACCTCTCCTTTCCTTTAAGATCCCCATCATGTTTCCCTCTCCCATATACTGTACCATCTCAGTTCATCAGGAAAAAAAAAATTACCAGCCCAGGACCCCCAAGGTTAAATTCTCAACAAAAAGGACAGGGGGTGGATAAAAGACAAAGAAGGGAGATAGAGGAAGGAAACAAGGGAAAGGTGGCAGGGATATTTGTCTTGGAGTGTGGGACAAAGAACTGCAGAGAGTAAGGAAGGGCATACTGGGCATACAATAAGTACCCATTAGAGCCCAAGTCGGGTAACAGTCTTCCTCTCAGGGTTCCGGCACACGATTCTCTGAATAGAACCCATTTGTTAGATTGAGTTGTCTACACGATGCAGTTTTTGTTGGGACTTAGAATGCTGGGTGTGGGTCATTCTGTGACTATCTGGAGCTTTGAGTTTAAAATGAAAACAATTTTAAGTGTGCCCATCAAAATGCAGAGTTGCAGGGAATGCAGAGGTAGGTTGCCTCCTGGAACAACCCTTCCTAGATACGGCAGATAGTATCCATCCTTGAAGCAACATGGACTATTTTCCACTACATTGCTGTTAATCACCGGTCCTTTATCTTGTTTTGTCTGATTTATTAGTTTCTGTTTAAACCTATTATGTTAGTCCCCTTTCTCACTGCTTACCAAAGCTGCTCAGGGAAGGAAGGAAAGGTTTATTTTGACTGTTGGAAGGAACAGTCCTTCATGGTGAAGAAGGCAAGGCAGCAGGAACATGAGTCAGCTGGTCACATGGCACCTGCAGTCAGGAAGAAGGGAGCAATGAACGTTGGTGCTCAACTCTCTCCTATGCAGTCTGGGACCCCCAGCCTATGACATGATATCCCATATATTTAGGATGGATCTTCCCACTTAAGATAAACTAGCCTAGAAAAGTCCTCACAGGCACTTCTGGAACTGTGTTCTATGGTGATTCTTAAGTCAGTCAAGTTGACATCAGTCACTAACCACCACAGCTATGGACTCTTTCTAGGAAGATGTGCCTGCATACATGGAAACAATACTCCTTGTACACTTATGACACCATGTCACAGACTCCCATTCTTGAGTTAACAGACTCCAACCTAACAAAGAAAGGTACATTCTGATAAGGCATTGCTCTTAGATAGATACGCCTTCAGATTTGTTCTGTTGTTACTTGATTTTCCTGCTTATGTCATGACGTAGAAGCATCTTTCTTTCTTGCTGAACTGTAAGTGTTTTCAGCATGGAGCAAAGGTTGTTTGTGTAATGCTGGCAAGCTTTTATACTGCTGATGTATCAGAAGTAATTAGGACCATTTCTTGCCTTCTTATTTGTGTGATTTTCTCACGGAAGCTTAGC